CATCCTGGCTTACTCTGATTTCTGCAAACACTTTTTCTTTATCAAATAAGTCTAGGTTGCCTTGAAAGTCGAATTCCTTTGATTTGAAGTCGTTAACATCACCACCAGCCCATTCATGAGTTTGTCGACGACCACGTCTTGACCGTCTTGCTATATAGTGGATAAAATGTTATGATATCAATAAATAATAAATAAATAAATAAATTTTAAGTATAAAATTAATGAGTTTTACCTGGGGACTGAGGCGTTCGCACACTTTGATAATGTCCATTTGTATTCTGATTCTTAATCAAAAAACGACACTGTAAATAAAGTGCTGTAAATTAAGGGGTTTGATATAAAATCCCTACAAGCATAATATAATGGTATGTCATAATTTGTTAAAATTAAGTTGACAGGAGTCTGTCGTGATCATAACATTGAGATTGTGTTCGTCAGGATTTCGTATCAAACCCACCAATTAAGCATTAATCGATTTTAAATTATTACCTTTCTCCTTCTCGTTGACTTTTTTTGATCGTATGTCATACTACCAGATCCTGCTTCACTCGATTCACCTTCATTATGATTGTTACCGTTTGACGTTTTGTTTGCGTTCACAAGTTCAACCTCTTCTTCACCTTTAGAATCACTATCTATTGTTGAACCAGTTTGAGTCGTTTTTGAAGGTGTGCGTGAACCAGATAAAGTTTGTTGTGGATGGATTTGCTACGAGAATACACATTAATATAGGAATCCCAGTAAATAAAAACAAAAAAGTTATTAAATGCTAGAACTTTTTATAAATAAAATTCAAGAATATATTCTCGAATAATATAACATAATATAACATAATAAAAAATATAAATAAAATACATACGACATATGGAGGTGAGGTTCTAAAGATAACATTTACACAAGAATTCATTATAATTAGAAAAAATATAGAGAATAAGTAAAATTTTTTAATTGAAATTTAGAATTACCTCATTAATCCATATGAATTTACGTGAGAAATTGAGGAATGTTGAGGTATATGGGAATACTATGACAAAAAAAAATAAAATAAAAAAATAAAATAAAATCTTAAATATTAACTTTAAATAT